TCCAACCATAATGATTCTGTGATCTTCTGTCATAGGCAAAGCTGATCCTGATTTCCTCTAAGGGTCCAGGAAAACTCCATTTTATTCTCTGGCAAGGGCTATTGAGTCTTTTGTAGAGGACAGAAGTGACAGTTGTGCCTACATCGCAAACACCCTAAGGGGGGGAGATCTGTCGATGGGTCCCTGCAGGCTGAAGGAGCTGGAGCCTCACGGAGCTGCCCCACTGCACTTGTTTTACCCTGTTCGTTACCTGGCACTCTTTTTTTTGGTTATGCATGACAGCGTGTACAAAGCGAGGTGCTTGGTTTCACAGTGCACACTGCAGGATGAGTTTACAAACTTGCGTTTGACTGGCTTGTAAACTATCAAAGTAATTTTAGATTCCCTACATATTTTTATGTCCGCGTATCTATTTCAGTTTTGTTTCTTTGCTGTGGTATTTTAGAGGAGTGCTTTTTACTAGTGAATCGGATAGGTGTGTCCTCTCAAACCATCTTATATGTATTTTGTGGAACCAATTATGTTTGTTTAAAGAATTTCTCCAAAGGTAAATTGCCTGATTTGATTTGTTTCCCATTTTAAAAGGAGAGTAGTAGAGGGAAGGAGAAGGGGGTGCAGGAGGAGGCAAGTTTGAAGGTGTAGGTTTGAGAGTTTTGGAGTGTATGAAATGAGAAACAAAGCTGACGTCTGGGGCAATACCTGCTTTAGGCTTGCTTTGCTAGTTGTGCCCGCCGGTAGCAAAGCACTCCAGTGTCTCGGCTGAGCTCCCGTCCTCCTGTGTCGGTGGGCACTGCTGAGAGCTGGGAGAGCCCAAGCGCAGCGTTGGGCACTGCTGTTCGTGGTGGGTTATGGTTCTGAAGAGTTGGGTGTGAAACACAACCTCAATTTTTCTTGGTTTCCATGCCTTTTTGTTGACCTGCTGTTAGCTGCTCCCTCTGCTCGTGGAAGAGGGGGACTTGCGGAAAGAGGCATCTCTCAAATATTCCAGGAATTTCAGAGGAGAGAGAGGTTTCAGATCTGTGTGACACCAGGCAGTGCTGTTCAGTAAAGTGCCCGGTCTGTTTTGTAGGCATTGGTGCTACTTGTCATTGGAGGGCTGGCTTTATACACACAACTGATGGCTGCTGCCATTTGGCGATTAGTTTGGCTGACAAGTTTTGATGGGAGGATTCACACCGCTGGGGATGGAGATGTGCAAGGTGATGCTTTTGAAAAGCAGTTGTAGCTGGCAGAACTTCATAGGAAGCACCAGGCTGAAGTCGTGCGCACCAAACATTGCGTTACGCTGTTCCTTCGTGATTGTTCGGTACTTAATGTTCACATATCCAGGAAACGTGCATATAGGGCTTGTTTTGGTTTGAATTTTTTTTTTAACGAATTGGATGTTAAAGTGTTTACAGTTGCAGGCACTCATTATTTTCAAGAACAAGCAAAGCATTTTGTGTTAGTGTCCTAAAAATATTGATGCACTTAGAAAATTTAACGATTATGTCCTTTCTGGGTAAGTTTTTAAGAAGGTTTGTGCTGCAGGAACGTGCTTTCAACACAGTATTTCTTCCTCTAAGTAGTTAGTCTAGCTTGTGAAGATAACCTGTGACTAAAAGTGCAGATTTCCATTCTTCCTTCTTGGTCTGCGTTTACATCTGTAACAAAAGGTTTTTAGGGGCACTGTTGGCTGCTGCGCTTGCATTTCCTTTGTGGAAGGCATTCTGCTGAGCCAGCCTGAAAATTGTTGCAACTTTTGACTGCAAAATGAAGTAGTGAAGCTGATTATCAGGGAACATGCTTAATTGCACACATGAAATTGGGTTTATCCTGCAGTAGTATTTCTGTCAGCAAACCTTGTAATTTTGGAACAGCTACTATCACAGAACAGCATCGCGTTAATAGTGAGTGACCATTATGTTCTGCTTCAATCTGCTAAATAGTCTTTAAAATACTCGGTCCCAAAGGGATTTAGTGGCTTCTCTTACCAAAGTAAAATTCTGTGAAAGTACTGATTTTGATGTTGCTGTGATCATGAAGCACATTCTGATGGGATTAATATATAACACAAAAATCTAAAAGCACTTATCTTTGCATTTAGTAAAAATATTAAATTGGCGGGTTAAAATAAAATCCTATGGCAGCAAGTGCAATGTATAAAATATTTAATTTGCTGTTTATAAGCTGTTTTACTAGAACTGCACTATTTACATGTGATTAAAATAACATGGCTGTAAAAAAACTTAAAAGGAAAGCACAAATAAATAACATTAAGCCTTATCAGTTAGTATATAGAATGATATGCTGCAAATATTAATTAGGGATACATTCTTTTGATAGAGCAGTCTATTTTTTGTTGCCTCATTCTGTTTTTTATTAATGCTTCCATGCCATTTATTTTTCTTGACACTTGCTGTGGTGTTTAGATTTCCTGAAAAATCTAATAGAAAAAAATATTTTAATAAGTGTGTTGGGTGTGAAGATGGCTTTCCTTTAGAGTCCTAAAGAGGTGTGTGTTTGGTTTTTGTGTTGTGTTTGGTCCCGTTCCCCCCCGCCTTGGGACATCCATGTGAAATACTTAATGACATGCAAATGTTAGAAGACCTTGAGCAAACTCTGAACTACGGCTATGACTTAAAGCTGGAGTAACAAAACAAACTGTACAGAAGCAGTTTCTTTTTCATCATTTACAACATTACACTTCAAGAGCTGTTTCTGGTTTTGGAACTTTTAAATGCTTGTCACATCTGTTAGTCCAGTGCCGAAAACTGCACATAACGCTTTACAAGATAGCAAGAATTCGTGCTAATCTGTAGAAGACGCTGCCTTTCAGTAACTTGTACGTGGAGTCTCCTTTTTTGGTATGGCTGAGAAAGTGTCTGTTGGCTAGGATCTGAACTTAATAGGGTATTACACTTAATCAATCTTGTTTTTCTTTATAGAAAAAGCTACAAATGAATGTAACACCAGTGAGGACTGGGGTCTTATTATGGATATATGTGACAGAGTTGGAAGTACTCCTAATGGGTAAGCTGTATCTCAGCACTACAACATGTAATTTCATGCTCATGTGAAGAAGAATACTGTTTCAGAGAGAACATGTCTCAAAATGCTCACCGTAGTCAGCTATGCAAAAAGTGCTGCCAATCTGACACTTCTGCAAGCTCTACAAATACATGTAGTTGGCTTTAAAATTCTTTGAAAGAAATGTTCTAGCAGGATTTCTAGTAGAGCAGTTTGTATATGCTGAGTGCATTCCAATTTTTATGGAGTTTTGCACAGTAGGTAAAGTTATTCATATTTAATGATCTTGCATAAATTTCCAGAGGCAACTGTACCAGTAGGAAAAAGTGAACAGGTTTCTTTGCAGAAAATTATCTAGCTCGGACAGTTAGTTACGATGAGAAATTTGTCTGTGTTTATTCATTAGAAAGAATTGGACTGATGGAGGAGAAAAGGGGGAAAAAATGGGGATAAAAACCCAGATCAGTTTGAATCAGTTTAGCCTAGGTGGTAGTACTGAAAAGTAAGTGGTAGTTCAGTGATCCTATAATGGCCAAAAGTATTCGCTGAGTTTTAAGGTAATCTTTTTGAGGGATAACATGTTTTAAATTTTGAAGTAAACCTGAATTAGTACATAGGCTGAATCCTTAAGTGATCTTAGAGGTTTTTACCAGTTTTATGTAATGTTTAAGATTACTACACTGAGAATTTTTTTTATTAATTACCTCCCAAAGGGAATAACAGCAAATCTATTCAATCTGGGAGTCTTTAGTCCTGAAGAAAAACAGTGTAGAATATCCTTTGAGTCCTTTAATAAAAATAGATTTTTTTTATTTTTTTTTTTACTGCCAAAAGACTTTTGTAGAGGAAGCTATTTTAAATCTACTTGTTTTGGAGGAGGGGAGATTGTGAAAAAAAATTAGCTTTTTTTACACATGCAAAATATATAACTATATATAAAATATGTAATTATACAAAAATATATATTAAGATGTGTACAATAAAATCCTAAAATCTGAGTTTTAAATGCCAGTACTGCTAGCATATTTTACTTCAATTTTGTGTAGTTTTCTTTCCTCCTGCCCTTCACTAAAAGCCATCTTCTGAAGAGAATAAATATTGATGCCTACCCTTAAATAAATATATAGCTTAACAACAAGGATGTTGACTTTGGTGGATTGTTTGTACATTAGCTATGACCACACATACTCAATGTTAGGCCTAAACCCACTCTTCTCTGGCTATGTCTACATCAGCAAGTAACTCGGCACAACAGGGCTGTAGTAGTAAACCAGAGCAGCTGGTACTGAAGCCACTGCATCCATCCAGTTTGCAGCTGAGGGTGTTTGGTTTTTTCCCCCCTTCAGAACAGGTTTAATCTCTTCTAAACTTAATATCCATGCCAGCATTGGTGCAAATTTGTCTGCAGATCTTGTCACTGGCTCTAACTGTCAGGGCTCCTTGAGAGGTTGGAGCACATTTGATGCATACAGAGGAGCTTTGGGCGTAGTTTCTTCCAAAAGGAAATAAATTTATGTCCACAAAACTCGACTGTGAACTAAATATGTAACACATAGGAATGATCAGAAAATTTGTTTCAAAACCAGACTATTACTCTAAACCAAAATGTGAAGCTTATTATGTTGTTTAATGTAGTGGCGTAAAATCTTTCTCACTACTGTACACATACCACCTTGAAAGGGACATCTTTTGGAACAGAATAAAACCTTGAAACAAACATCTTTTTTAATGTTATCAGTGAAAGAGTTTTGGTTTCATTTCCACACAGGCTTTTTAAGCTTTGCCTAAAGTTGCAATTCCTTGACAACTTTAAATTGACAGGAGGGAGAATTTGCATTGAAGAGGGTTGTCAGATATTTCCTCTAGCCCCTTGTGCGACGGATTCCTGGTGAATCTGATCTTGGCAGTGATCTGGCTGAAAAACAAACATGCTCAGCCAGATCGGTTCTTTGATCCGAGCACTGCATGACTGCTAAAGCCTCAGGCAGGAAGAGAAGGGGATTGCCCTGCCGTAGGAAGGGACGGTAGGTGTTTGGTCCACTACTTTCATCAGTGGCTTTCGATGGTGCCTGCGTAAAGCGAACACGGAACCAGAGCCTTAGCGGTGAAGAACACAGGTTGCTCAAGCTGAGTTCGCTAGGCGACACAGAGAAACGCAGCCTTCCAGAGACGTTTCTGTGCTTTGATAATAGAGCAGCTCGTGTATGCTGCAGGTGATATTAGTTGTAAAGGTAATGCGTCCATGTGACATAGAGATATAATGTTTTCAGAGGGTTCAAAGTAGTAGTGTTAATGAAACCTTACGTATGCCTCAGCCCATGTAGCTTGGGCATGCCGTTAATGCTCATTTTAAGTATGAAACTCCTTAGTAGAGTAACATTTAGAATGCTAGTCATTATTCTATACTTAGATTTTGCTGAAATAAATTATAAAATCTTCATGTGTTCTTAGGGCCCTGAAAATGGGATCCAAGAGCTGACAACCTGTGAGCATGATTTTTAAATTAAATCCATAGAGACCCTTTACAGTAGACAGTAAAATAACCATTTATTTAATCATCACTGCCCCTCATTCTTTTTTATGTAGACATTTCTTTCATTGTCTGTTTCAAATCCTTTTCCTCAACTTAATGGCAGTTGCTCCCTTTATGACCTGTCAGCAGTTTTATGGAAATTAATACAAAATGCCACTGTAAAAATGGACTCTGTTCCAATCCAGTACATGTATAAGAACAAACAAATTGTTAATTATTTTTTCCAGACTAGCTTTGAGAAAAGGTTAGATTAGGTTACATTTTTTCAATAGACCCAGTTTTGTTTGCTTACCCATCTTGAGTATCTGGTATCATTCATTCCACAGATTGTCAGTCACATTTATCACTAATAGTTTCTTTGTTCCTTTTTCAGAGCAAAGGATTGCCTTAAAGCCATCATGAAGAGAGTAAATCATAAAGTTCCCCATGTAGCTTTGCAAGCACTTACAGTGAGTAGATTATCACTATTTTCAAAAAACTTTGCATTCTTTTATGTAATGCAGCTATTAAATGTGTACTGATCAATTAGTACCTTTATATATCTTCAGTAGAAGTCAGTCAGAATGTGCATGCTGAACACAGAATTAAATTTAACTCTTTTTGTGTATGCTTTTATTTTGGATTATTTTCATTGTTGTCATACATTTTGACCATTGTATTTCTCTTGTCAGCTTTTAGGAGCCTGTGTGTCAAACTGTGGAAAAATATTTCACTTGGAAGTATGTTCTCGTGACTTTGCTAGTGAAGCTCGAGGTATAATAAATAAGGTAATTTTTTATAGCCTGAAGTACTGGGGGAGGATTATTTTGGTAAGTTCTTTGCTTTGTCTCAGCATAGCAAAACTAATGTTCTAGTTAATATGCATTTTCCAGTTTTGGTGCAATTGCAGACACTGCTGGCTCCTTGTCTTGTCACTGAAATTGGTGTACTTTAATTTTGACCATGAAAAAATAAGGTATTAAAGAAGCAATAGGCTGATAATACTACTCCAGATTTTTACAAAATGACACGAACAATTTTAATTAAAATCTGTGACTCTTCCTAAGCTCAATTAATTTGATGATGGTAAAGGCAGCTTTTCTTGCTCTTTTATTGGGCTTGAATGAAATTCATAGGCTGAAGTGCAAAGGGAGAACTGTGAGAAAGTTAAATCGCATTTTTACAAGGAAAAGGATAAAGTCTTCAGACAACTTTCTTAATTTCTAGAGATCCTCAGAATGTTGAATGAGGAGGTAACCAAGAAAGGAAGACCTAAATGGTTAGGGTCAAGCAGCTGAGGAGATCTAAATCTGGATGTAATGAATTGAATAAGCAGAAACAGCTTTCCCCTGATTACTGCTCCAATTGAAGACAAAAATGGCTAATGGGTTAAAAAGAAGTTAGTCTTCAAATATATGGGAGGCCTGGAAGCATCAGAGGTTGAGCAAAGCAATTAAGGAAACTAATAAAACTGCTGGGAAGCAAAATGAGTTCACAGCCATTCTGTTTATTGCTTTGTATGAAAAAATAGGTCTTAAAGTCCTCCCCTTTGTTCTCATTAGCCATGGTCCGTTCTGAAACAGAACATTGACCTTCGTGGTCTGACAGCGCTTGGACATAAAAGCAAACCTTTAATCCCACTGAAGAATGGTCTACTGGAGCAGAATTCATTTTGTTGTTGGGAAGTACTTATGTTTTACCTAGGTCCCTGGCCCACTTGGAGGAATAATCTTCAGAGGGCGGTTAATATTGTACTTTCTCCCTTTTCTCCAAAAGAAAATTAGTTCAGACAAGTGTAACAAATGTCTTTGTGCTGATGCTGAGCCTATCGAGCTACATCTCTTCTTTCAATTAAATGCATGCTTGAGCCCAAACTTGTCAACATTGTTACTGTTGGGCATATGTTTGCCTGTGAGGCACAGGCTTACAACATGATCTGAATTGCATTCAAATGAGAAATCTTGGTCATACACTGCGTTTGTGCAGTCCCAAGCTCTTATCCACACAAGCCAAGTGAAGCAGATGTAGGGGAGCCCAGCAGGCCCAGAACCCTTATTCACCAGCTAGTATCCTGAAGTTAGTTTGGATGCTTTGGGTTCAAACTATAGTCTTTTCATCAACTGTGAACAAAATGAGAAAGTGTAGGGAGTCTGAAATGCTTTGGTCCATGTTTTACCATCGTAGTGTTGGCATGACCTTCACATATATTAGCTGCTCTATCGAGGAGTTGCTCTTTTTGCTCCAGTAAATTTTTAAAGGCTGTTACACGATTACAGGATTAACAGCAGCTGATGTTTAATGTTACTGAGGTATACTCTGAAGGGTATTCTTTAGCTGTACGGTAGAGTAATACATGACTCTGACCTGCTTTTCTGAGGGTGGATTATCACTTTGGGTGAGGTTGTTAGCACGTAAAATTTGCAGTCTATGTGGATTTAGAGTAGCTGTAAATCCTGTGGATGAGGGTGTAGGAGTGGGAGCTGTAGAGACTCTTTCGTGCAAGAGGCTGGAGAAAAATGTGGGAGCCAGAGGAATTGCAGGCAGAGCATAAACTTGATCTTGATTTGCTCCCACTCCAAGCAAATATCTGCCTTTACCAGACTGTGTCCCTGCACCTCAGTTCCTAATTCAGGAGCTAATAGGATAAACTGTCCCATGAGCTGGGTGGCACTGTACATAATGCATAATGCGTAACTCCTTTTTGTAAGAATCTGAATCAAGGAGATGTACATAAATAGGTACCTATATACGGAGATGGCCCAAAGATCAGGTTTTTGTGAGATCCTGTCACCTGAGAAGTCAACAGGGAGAAATATGTTCTGGCATCTGAGGAGAAGACAGCAGAGGTCATAAAAGGTAGGGAAGGCATATTGTCTTGTACGAAAGGACAGTATCTTATATTAGACCAACTTATGTGGTTGGAAGGGGAATAACAATACAAATTAGAAGTAATGAAGAGAAAACTGAGGTAAAATGGAGGGTAACTAGCAGAGGTGCAGAAAAGTTGGGGTAAGTGTTGTAGAGAGCCTGAATTTCTCTGAAACTATTGAGGTGGAAACATGGCTAACATTTGAAAAGTCAAAAAGTTTGTCAGTCTTTTTCCTTAACCATTCGTTAACCACCCACCTGAAATTGACTCCACTAAAATAGCAGCAGTATAGGTAGGTGAGCTGCCTACCAGAGAATTTGCCTCAGAGGATTGCTGTAAGGGTTGAAGGAACCCTGATTTAAAATAACCAGTTGTTTAGTAGAATTGGGGAAATCTGAACTGGCCTGCGGTCTGTTGCTGCACTGGAGTAATGGCATTGGCAACTGCTGTGCCAGCTTTCCAATGAAAGGATGATGCTCCAGAAACTAAGCGTGTTGTCTGTAATATGATAATCAGCGTATAAAAGACCATATATGCTAAGCTCTATTTTCTTAATCAAGACAATTATTAATTGTTAAGGATATGTATAGTAAAATGGTTTTGGTAACAGTTTTACTGAGAGGGAACAACTTTTTCTGTTCACTTTGAACTACAAGCATTCTTTTCTATGCACTTTTGTCTTCTAGGCTCATCCAAAAGTAAGTGAAAAGCTAAAAACCCTAATGGTGGAGTGGTCGGAAGAATTTCAGAAAGATCCACAGTGTAGCTTAATATCTGCAACTATTAAATCTTTAAAAGAAGAAGGTGTAACTTTTCCTGCAGCTGGATCGCAGGTAAAAGCTGATTTGGGGTGCATGGTACTGTTAGGTTCACTGTTCCTGGCGGTAAACAAATGAAAAGCTGTCCAGATGAGATCTTTTGTTCTTTCGATCAGAGGAGAGTAGGATCCTTGTTCTCGTTTGGTTGGCTCCTTATGCTGAGGTTTGCTTCTATTCATTCTGGTTTTTTCATGTCCTTGCCTTCCTAAAAAAAATAGGAACAGACTAAAGGCTATTTCATGATGCTCTTATGAGTTGTTTCATTTTAGATCCTTCTTTGCTTCCGATCATTTTTACAGCTTCATTGAGCTGTCACCACCTTAAATTGAAGCAATTCTACGCCCACACTTTGTACTTGGTGTTTCATGGTTCTAATTGCTGACTTGGAGCATGTACCTTCATTTTGCTTCACACAGCCTCACAAAACAAAGGACAATATCTGGAATGGAGACGTTTTTGAGGGTGGTCTGTGCTGTGCTTTCCTTTTCCAAGTCCCCGTTTCTTGTTCATGCAGTTACCTGTCCACGCTAGGAATTGTCCTGGCTCTGCAGTAGGTGGGGTGCTCCAGTCACTAACCTCACCCTTTGTATTTTACTTCTGATGGTGTATTATGCCTAATCTTTTAGCTGGCAGATACGATGACAGGTGGGGTTTTTTTTCTATGCTTTATTATTGATGCTTCTAAATATTTTCATGTTAATTATGAGTCAGGTGAAGATCAGTCTTGAAAATTAGAACTATGGCTTCTATTACATATTCTTTACATGAAGTTTACTTTTCTCTATGTTAAACACAGAGGTGTTTTTTACTTTTACAATCTTTCCTTCCTCCACAAAGATGTTTTCGCTTCTAAATCTAGGATATGTGTTAAAACATATGGCAGAAACATGAAAGATCTAGAGTACTGGCAACCAATTATGCTTCCTTTCCTACAAATACATATGAAATGACATCTTGATGTTTTTACCTCGTATACTTCACTTCAAACAAGCAAAGCTGAGGTTTATTAGTATTTGGTACACTTGTGCAGAATTGTTTTCTAGGACTATTGATAAGTTCTAGGCATGGCTAGTGTCTGAAACTTCATTCCTGGTATATGCGGGAAGACTCCTTCGTCAGAATGAAAACTCTAAGAAAGATTTGAATATGCTGTTGTGGAGACTCGTATTATTTAATTCAACAGCTCCCAACTTGATGTACGTTTGCTCTTCCTTCCCGTTATCGCCCCAGCAGAGAGAGAGGGTGGCTTTTTGCTCTGATACAGAGAGAGATCTCTCTTTTTAGTAAGTCCAGCTGCTGCTTAGTAACTTGGTTCTTTGTGGACGTAGGACTCCAAAGAGCTTTTCTTCGCTTTCGAGGGGAGGGGTGGAGGAGTGGAGGGCAAAGGTTGAAAGAGTAGTCATTTAAATGAGTAGCCTCACTGTAACAAATGCGATTAAAATAATTATTTAAATAAGATCAGTTCTTTAAATCAGATCTGATTATTTATTTTACTTTGTTCATTGTTGAGAACAAAATAAAAGCTGGCTGAGATTCTGAAGAGTGGTAATTTTTTCTTCTAGAAGGTCATCTTGATTCGGTAATGAAATGCTATGGTAAGGCAGCTAACCAGGAACAACTTATTACTAATTTTTTAAAGTATATAATTATAGAGCTTTCTCTTTTGTTTGTAACCTGAACGTATTCTATTGTTAATACATTTGCAGGCTTCCACAAATGCTGCTAAGAATGGTTCATCTTTAAGTAAAAACAAGGAAGATGAAGATATAGCTAAAGGTAAATTGCTAGTTGCAGCCTTGGGTTAGACTTGTGCTCTCGAACTTTTGTTAAAATGCACGGAAATAGGAAGTTGCATTCTCTTCTGCTGCATAGAATTGAAAGCAAGGGCGCAGCAGGTTGGGAATTAGTATACTGTATCATTCAAGGTGTTATGCTCATGGATGAGGATTTGGGGTAAGATACATTCTTCCCCATCACATAGCCATTAGCATTGTTTTGTGACTGCTTTCTCTCCAGAGAGCTTGGTCTTTTCCCTTCTGCACCCACGTGTTTTATTTTAGCCTACATCTTGATGCTTTAAAAAACATCAGAACATTTAAATGTTTTATTCTTTCTCCTCTTTCTTGGGTATAGTTATTGTTGTTCAGATGTCATAGTGAAGAATTTATCAGTATTTCTGATCATGCTAATGATGCTACTGACAGTAGTAGTGTGCGTGCTGCTTCAAGGAGTGGGCTGTAGCATGAAAAGCAGAGGGGTTTTTTTTAATGCTTTGTAACTTGTGCATGATTATGTCTTGTCTTTTAATCCTGTTGCAGGGCAGAGTAAAGCTGTTGAAATGTGAAATACGGCTAGTAGCTTGGAGCAAAGATTTTAAACTTAAAATGTTAGAGAAGCGGTTACAGACCATGTTTATAATATAGCAATAGATATTTTTCTTTTTTTATTAGGAAAGCAAACTGTCTTTGGGATAAAATATACAAACTTCTATTTTTATTTTTTTTCCCCCTCCCTTAATTGTAGCTATTGAATTGTCTTTGCAAGAGCAGAAACAGCAACAAATGGAAACTAAATCCTTGTACCCATCTGCAGAAATTCAGCAAAACAATCAGAACTCGAGGAAGGTGCGAGCTCTGTATGACTTTGAAGCTGTCGAGGACAATGAGCTCACCTTTAAAAGTGGAGAAATTATTTTTGTTTTGGATGACAGGTACAATATACTCAGATGAAGGTGCCTTTATTCCAGAACTGTTGTTTTCTTAGGATAGCAAATTTTTCCTCTCATTTTCAAAAATTCTCCCCTGAGAAATATATGTTGTCACTCTGGCCTCCCTCAAATCCCTTTATCTTCCACTATTCTTTCCATACCCCAAAATTTTGACCTCAAGTCTCTTTTGGTGAAGGGATTGTTGTATTATGTCAGGCATTTCATGCCATGCTGTAGGTCCAATTTGTTTGTAGCTTTTAAGATAAATGTTAGTTGGTTGTAACATGTCATAAGAATATGCATACAGTGCTAAATTCCAGCTTCTTCCAGAAGTTGTTGAATCTTTGTCTATCAAGCATCACATTAACTAAGAATAAAACTGAAGAAAAATACTTAAGATTATTATTATTGTTACCACTGTTGCCCCAATGGTAGCTAAGAAGCAGAATATTTCCTGCTAATGCTATTCTCATTTAATAGACTGTGACAGATCAATTGTATTTCTGATGTTAGTCTCCACTTGTGTACCTCTTGTAAACTTTTAGATGAAACTATGATGGGCTATCAATCTGAAATGTTGAAGAGTTGTGTTAAATTTTGAGTGATCGCTACTGAATGATTTTTACTTCCCTCGATCACTTCTCTTTTCCTCCCCACCCCTCTGCCCCAGCTCCTGTCTTTGGCTTTGCTGCTAACCTCTACAAATGTTTTCCTTTGCCTTTGTTATTAGATACGCAGGGAAACGGTGTAATAGATATCACAAGTTTTCTTTCAAAAGCCCAAAATATGTCACTGACACTAAGCATTAATTTTCAGAGTTTTGTGATACATCTTTATTTCCCCAGTGACACCAATTGGTGGAAAGGTGAAAACCATAGAGGAGTAGGACTGTTTCCATCTAATTTTGTGACTTCTGACTTAAATGTGGAACCTGAGGCAGGTAAGTTAGCTACTGAAAGCTGAGAGATTATTTTTAGAAAGGTGGGCTTATGATGGAACTACTGATTAGCCCATCAGGAAAATAATTTCCTGAAGTCTACCTGAGGAAGGAATTGAGAGAGACATCTTGCCCTTGTTGCAAACAAGCAAGCAAGCGTATACCACTGTATACGAGCTGTAGCTTCACTTTAACAATTTCTATCTTCTGATTCTCTTCTAAGTTGTTACCTTTTTCCTGTTACAGAAATTCAGTTAATTTTACTATCATTTTTTCAGTAACGTATTACATATGAATCCGGTAACTTGCCATTTAAAATGTCAAAGTCTCTTTTCAGACATCAGACCTAGTATAGAATAACATTCATACCCATGTCAGTGGTTTGTAAAAATCACGTTGTTAGCTTTATTCATGCTTATGATACCAAAATAAATCTTAACACTTACGACTTGGCTGAAAGTAACTGTACACGTGTTGGAGGTGTTTTTAGATGCTAATATGACTCAAGAGTCTTTCCTTTGCTGGGCCTAGGTTTGTAATCAGGCTAACAGCCCAAAGGAAGCAACTTGTCAGAACGTTTTCTAGGCAAACCCATTTTCTCTTCTCGAGCAGCTAGATGCATCACTGCTTAAAGTACTTACCCAAATTTCTCTCTCATTTAAAGAACTGATGGCAAGCAAGGAGAAAATGTGTATTTTAAGCTAGCATGGTAACACAGCTGCACAAAAGAAACTAATGTTTGTTCTTTCAGCAACTGTGGATAAAATTTCTGTTCCTGAGGATACTGCAGAAGAAATTAAGAAAGCAGAACCTGAGCCTGTTTATATAGATGAGGTATGCAGTCACTTTCAATATAAAAACTTGCTGAGATTTTGCATTTGTTGAAACATTCTTTTGTTACTGAATGTTAGCAGATAATTCTTTTTTATATAAGGAACTTTTTTTTAATTTGAAAATTAAAACAGTCTCTGCCATGCTACAGAAATAACTGTTCTTAATCTTCTCTTCACCTTTCAGGACAAGATGGATAAAACACTGCAGGTACTTCAGAGTATAGATCCTACAGACTTAAAGCTTGATTCTCCAGATCTTCTAGACTCAGAAGGTACTTTGAGCATTAAGGTGGCTAGTTCTTGTATTTCTTCTCACACCTTTTGTGGATTGAGCTGGTAATTCTTTTGCGCTTATTTTAAGCTTAGGGAAACTGTGGTCTGTACTAATAGTGTGCTGTAGAATAGCGTATTTCACAGTGGGAGCAGGGGGCTATATGTATAACTCTAAACTTTCTAATAGTTGCCAAGCCAGTTCCATGTTTAGCAGAGTAATTTGCGTAACTTCCAGCTAGTGTACAATGCCTGATCTTTGCAAGATCCATCCACGTATCAAAACTCTGCTTGAAATAAGCAATTAGTTTTGTTAGCTAAATTTCTCTAAATTTCTCTAAAATACTGCGAGCAGGGGGCTATATGTATAACTCTAAACTTTCTAATAGTTGCCAAGCCAGTTCCATGTTTAGCAGAGTAATTTGCGTAACTTCCAGCTAGTGTACAATGCCTGATCTTTGCAAGATCCATCCACGTATCAAAACTCTGCTTGAAATAATTAATTTTGTGTTAAAATTTCTCTGAAATACTGCTGGCTATGAGAGGAGAGGAAGTTCAGCTCACGTAAGAACCACTTAGTTCAAGGTGCGTGATAACGATTGAGCCTACATGAAAAAAGGAGGGTTCCCAGAATGGAAGAAGTGAAGGTAAAGGAAGCTCTACAGAACAGCAGATCTAGATAGATTCATAGGCAGTCTAGATTAGATATTCCAGCAGGAAATGGAAGTCAGAGATCTTGCACAGTGAAAGCAGAAATGCAAAATTTTCCATGTGTTTCATCAGTAGTCTTTTGTTGGAGAGGGTAGAGGGGAAGAGGAGAGAGGATGGCAAAGCAGAATAACCAAAGTATTTTTCCTGTCTGTTTGGGCTGGAGGAATGGGACACACGTGATAACTGGGTGCGCTCTCCAATTCTGTATGCTATTTTAGTGTACTTGGATAAAGTATTTTTTGGCTGCGTTTAAAACTTTAATTGTGCAAGACCCTAACTACCTTGACACTTTTGTCTTCACAGATATTTGTCAACAGATGGGTCCAATGATAGATGAAAAACTAGAAGAAATAGATAGGTGAGCCACAACATAGCTTCTGCGTTGTTTACTGTGATTTACTTTAAATTGTGCAGTTGTCTCAAATTTTTTTTTCGTACTTTCATCTCCCGAGCTAGAAAATCTTGCAAGAAAGAAATTTTGACAACTCTACCTTTATTTTACAATATAGATGTGTAAGAAATTGACCATCTACCTGTTAAGCGTTTTTTTTTCTTGCATATTCAAAACTGTTTAATGAACCACTCCTCTTTTTTACCATCTAACACTAGATGTTAGAGAAACTTAGTGTTTGCCTATGTTTGTTCTGAAACAGAAAACATTCAGAATTATCTGAATTGAATGTGAAAGTTCTAGAAGCTCTGGAGCTCTATAACAAACTGATGAATGAAACGCCAATGTATTCGGCCTACTCGAAACTCCACCATCCCGCACAATACCCACCTACATCTTCTGGTGTTTCAGTGCAGGTCAGTATCCCTTTCTGGAAATAGAGACTTTCCTAATATAGATTTCTATTTAAAAAGATGACAGCAAAAATGAAGTGTACGCTTTCTTGCTAGCCTACGAACAATCTGACATTGCCTGCTGACTTTTTATAGCCTTTAGAATAAAATATCATTTACGCACTAGAACAGGGTGCTTCAATTTGCAGTCATCTGCTTGTACAATAAAGTATAATTGTTAATTTTGCTCTACTTAGCAGAAAGATACTGTATTGAAAATACTAAAAGATTCCTTCTGTGGTTAATTTTTTTACAGTTAGAATTGTCTATTTCAGCAGCTTGGTGGATATTCTTGCTGTGAGTCATGTCCTCAGTCTTAAAGTAAAATGTTACCTTCTTATCTAATCGCGGGGATGCAAGTGAACTTTAGTATTAGTGCATTAATCACGACTGCAGTGTACTTTTCCTAAATATAGAAACACTAGTCTGGTTTTAGCTCTTTTTTTTTTTCCCCCCCTCACCTTAAAACTGAACATGTTGTATTAGGGGGTGTAGTTGCTCAAAACTGTTTTCTAGTATCTCTAATGTGCCATATTGATGTTTTAAGAAAACAGAAATGGGGGAGAAAGAGATATTTTTTTTTTT